TAGGTGAAGGGAAGGACAGCACACACTACAGGGGAAGTCAGCACAACTGGACTAAACCAAAGCTAAGAAGTTTCCTGAATACAACCAAACACTTCGAGGGACAGAGTAGCAGGGGCGGAGGTCTGGAGACCATGGGTTCAGGGGACATGTAGGTCAATTGGTATAACGAAGTTTATTAAGAAAATGTTCTGCATCCCACTTTGGTGAGTGGCATCTGGGGTCTTAAAACCTAGCGTGCAGCCATCTTAGTTGCATCAACTGGTCCCAACCCACCTGCAGTAAAGGAGCATGAAGAACACCATAGATGCAAGGAAAGTATTAGCTCAAGAGACAGAAAGGGCCGCATAAACCAGAGACTTCATCAGCCTGAGACCAGAAAAACTAGATGGTGCTCGGCCACCACAAATGACCACCCTGACAGGGAACATAACAGAGAGTCCCTGACAGAGCAGGAGAAAAGTGGGGTGCAGAACTCAAATTCTAGCAAAAAGACCAGACTTAATGGTTTGATTGAGACTAGGGGGGCCCTGGAAGACATGGCCCCCAGACTGTCTGGTAGCCCAAAACTAAAACCATTCCCGACACCAACTCTTCAGGCAAAGATTAGACTGGATCATGGGACATAAAACGATACTCGTGAAGAGTGTGCTTCTTAGCTCAAGTACATACATGAGACTAAATGGGCAGCTCCTGTCCGTAGGCGAGACGAGAAGGCAGAGAGGGTCAGCAGCTGGTTGAATGGACACGAGAAATCCGGGGTGGAAAGGAGGAGTGTGCTGTCACAGCATAAGGAGAGGTACTAGGGTCACATAACAATGTATGTACAAATTTTTATATGAGAGACTAACTTGAATTGTAAACTTTTACTTAAAGCACAACAATAAAAAAAAAAAAACATAACAATAGGCTATGTTGAGCCTAAGAAGCCAGATACAAAAGATTATATGCAGTATAACTCCATTTAGATGAAACTCTAGGACAGGCAGAAATCCGAACAGTAGTTGCTTTGTGTGTGTGTGTGTGTGTGCGTGTGTGTGTGTGTGGGTGTGGGTGTGGGTGTGGGTGTGGGTGTGGGTGTGGTGGAGGTACGGGGGATTTGAGAGGAAAGCAGGAGGTGCAGATTGATTGCAAACAGGCAGGATAGAAGTTTTGGGGATAATGAAAACGTTCTATTTCTCTATATGTATATATACAGTAAAAGCTGCAAAAGCCAGAAGTGTCTAAGGCGGAGACCTGTCAGAGAAGGAAAGCTCAAGTATTTTCCACTAAAATGAGCAATAGCAAAGCGGTAAGACTGCACCCTGTCAAAGGCGGAAAACTTGCGAGACTCGGGAAAAACAATGTAGTCCCGTTGAGTTCTGGATCTCACAGGTTTCACCATATTTGCGTACACACACACACACACACACACACACACACACACACACACACTCCCTTTACTATGGTTTCTACATTTCTCAATGATATGATGATCAAAGCAAGATACTGAATACCAATAACTCTGAAAAAATTCTTTGCTATAAACAGTAAACAATGGTTTTTAAATCATTATCAATACCATCATCACAGTAGGTGAGTAAGAACGTATGAGAATAAGAAACCTCAACCTATAGAAGGAATAGAGCAGAAGACTGCAGAGCGGGGAGCAGAGAGGTGGGTTATGGAGCAAGAACTAAAAATAATAAAAATAAATAAATACTAATAATAGCTCTTACTGGGTGCCAGACACTGTTAAAAGTGCTTTACATATATTAATTCATTTAATCCTCACAACAGCCTTACAGAAGTACTGTTATTTTAAAGATGAGGGACCTGAGGCAGAGAGAGGTTACAGAACTTGCCCAAGGTCATATAGTTAGTTTCTAGTAGAACCAGGATTTGTACCCAGGCAGTGTGGCTCCAGAGTCCATGCTCTGGACTATTATGTTATATTCTAGAGAGGAAGAGAGTGAGAGGAATATGGTGGAATGATGAGCAGAGAACGGAAGAAAGATTAGGAAGCTCAGAAACATAACTTTTTATTGAATACCTACTGTCATGGATTGAACTGTGTCCCCCAAAAATATGTGTATCAATTTGGCTAGGCCATGATTCCCAGTATTGTGTGATCGTCCACCATTTTGTCATATGAGGTGATTTTCCTATCTGTTGTAAATCCTGTCTGTATGATGTTGATGAGATGGGATAGCAGCAGTTATGTTAATGAGGCAGGACTCAATCTACAAGATTGGACTGTGTCTTGAGCCAATCTCTTTTGAGATATAAAAGAGACAAGCCAGCAGAGAGACAGGGGGACCTCATACCACCAAGAAAGCAGTGCTGGGAGCAGAGTGCGTCCTTTGCAATTGAGGTTCCCACGCTGAGAAGCTCCCAGACCAAGGGAAGATTGATGATACAGACTTTCCTTCAGAACCGACAGAAAGGGAAAGCCTTCCCCTAGAGCCTGCACTCTGAATTTGGACTTCTAGCCTCCTAGACTGTGAGAGAATAAATTTCTCTTTGTTAAAGCCATCCACTTGTGGTATTTCTGTTATAGCAGCAGTAGATAACTAAGACACCTACTGTATGCCAGGGCCTGTGGATAAAAAGATGAGTAAGACCATGGCTCATGCCCTGAAAGACTTTCCTCTCCCTCTCTTGGGAAGAAAATGGGCCCCATATCTCCTTAGGAAGAGCCCTATGGATACAACTTATGGGAACAAAGGAAAATTATATTGGCCCTCTTAAAAGTTGCTTCAGTGAGCATCCCACCACTTGGCCCTGGAGCTGGCTCAGTAAAAAGTACCCCACCCCACTGCCATCGAGTCGATTCCGAGTCATAGCAACCCTATAGGACAGAGTAGAACCGTGCCACAGGGTTTCCAAGGCTGTAAATCCTTACGGGAGCAGACTGCTACATCTTTCCCCAGCAGAGTGGCTGGTGGGTTTGGACCACCAACCTTCTGGTCAGCAGCCAAGCACTTAACCACTGCACCACCAGGGCTCTCTCAGTAAAAAGTAGCTACTGTATATAGTTTTCTTCCAAAGGGAACTGGTTTTTGTTTACCTCACATGGACATCAAGCTGCTTCAAAAATTGCCCATATTCTTCACACAGAGCTTCCTTCTCTTGCTGCAACCCAGACAACTTCTCTGACAATTCCCGGTTGCTCTTGAGATGCTGAAAAACATTTTTTTTTTTTTTAAATGAGAATACTCTGTGCTGATAAAGGTATGACATTTGAGGAATATAAATTGGTAAGACTTTTTACTGAAAAAGGCTTACTGTAACTCCACCTTCTGAGATCATAGTAGCTTCCTGTGGTTTCTGTACTTCCAGATTCCCTGAAAGGCTGCTTCCCCAGCCTTTCCAATGGTTTTGTAAGCACCTAATTCCCTACATTAAAAATCTTCCAGCTTGAAGTACACAAAGTGTAATCTGTTTTCCTGACCTAACCCTGAATGACAAAGTATTGGGTCTAGAAGTGGCCCCAGTGGACAGATCCTCAAATATAAGAATCTGGGATTAGTTACTAGCCCTGGTTAGATTTGAAGGCAGTATGATATTGTCACCAGTACTAGTAGCCTATGGCAAAAGAGTTGGTAAAATTATTACATTGTCATGGATTGAACTGTGTCCCCCAAAAATATGTATATCAATTTGGCTAGACCGTGATTCCCAGTATTGTATAATTGCCCACCATTCTGTCATCTGATGTGATTTCCCTATGTGTTATAAATATTATCACTATGATAGCGGCAGTTATGTTGATGAGATCTACAAGATTGGATTGTCTCTTAAGCCACTCTCTTTTGAGATATAAAAGAGAGAAGTAAGCAGAGAGACATGGGGATCTCATACCATCAAGAAACAAGAGCCAGGGGAGTAGCGTGTCCTTTGGACCTGGGGTCCCTGCACTGAGAAGCTCCTCAGCTAGGGGAAGATTGATGACAAGGACCTTCCTCCAGAGCCAAAAGAGAAAGAAAGACTTCCCCTGGAGCTGACACCCTGAATTTGGACTTGTAGCCCACCAGACTGTAAGAGAATGAATTTCTCTTTGTTAAAGCTATCCACCTGTGGTATTTCTGTTATAGCAGCACTAGACAACTAAGACACACATATGGTTGCTTGTGATGAAGTGCTTTAAGAGACCAAGTGACTGGTACAAAGAATATTATAGTAAAGGACTGTGGTGTGGTCTGGCCACATCTGACCATGTTAATATGCTTACAAAGACAAAATAACCAACTTGGGGATTTAATTATTGGAACAAGCACAGTCAGAGACACAGAAAGCTTCTATGAGTACCCTAAAAGAACCTCTTCTTTCTTGTAGCTAGCAGGCCAATGTATCCAAAAATCAAATTCTAAATTTCATCAAGTAGCTTTCACAATTATAACACAAATTGAATCATAGCCTTGCCAGTTTTCTTAAATGAAAAATAGGGTTTTGGTTGGTAATGCATGGAAACCTGAGAATTGGGAATGAAGACATTTGAGAGGATTATAATGACTTTCAGTGCCCTGAACCCCCAAATTCTACTGAGCCTCTTGCCAGCATAAGCAGACCTTCCTCTGCTGTCCAAGGAGATTAACTATCCTTTGGTTTGTGGACTTTGTATTGACTTCACCTGAGGCAGTTACCTTGAAAGAAGCTGCCTAGTGTCCTTAAGACCCAACCCTATACCCCTACCACTTCTGTCTCCAGTTGCATAAGTAGAGTCAGATCCCAGCACACCCTGAAGAGTGGGGGTTGAATATAGGGACTAACATAGGAGAAGACAACATACATATTGAAAGAATGACAAGATTTTACCAGCATATATTGGCAGAAACCTGAGGAATATATTTAGGAATGTATTCAGAAGGCGTTATACTAGTGAGGAAGGAATATAATGTTGAATGGGTTGAATTTTTTTATACAGATGCTATTGCAGATTGAACTGTACTCACACAAAATATGTACTTAAGTCCTGGCCCTGCTATCTGTGGTTGTGATCCTGTTTGGAAATAGGTTTTTGTTATGTTAATGAGGTATTACCAGAGTAGGGTGTGTCCTAAACCTAATCACTTCTGATTATAAAAAGAGTAGAACAGACACAGAGAACCACATGGGGGAAGACATCATATTAAGATAGACACACACAGCAGATGCATCTGCAAGCCCAGGAGCCCCAAGGATTGCTGGCTGCTAGAAGCTGAAATAGACAAAGAAGGAATGCCACCCTCTGAATACGGACTTCTAGCCTCATATACTGTGAGAAAATAAATTTCTGTTCTTTAAGGCAACCCACTTGTGGTATTTTTGTTACAAGAGCACTGGGTAACTGTCATGGATTGAATTATGTCCCCCCAAAAATGTGTGTATCAATTTGGCTGGGCCATGATTCCCGGTATTGTGTGATTTTCCCATGTGCGGTAAATCCTGCCTCTGTGATGTAAATGAGGGAGGATGGGCGGCAGTTGTGTTAGTAAGGCAGGACTCAGTCTCCAAGACTGGATTGTATCCTGAGGCATTGTCTTCAGATATAAAAGACAGAAGTGAGCAGAGAGACAGGGGGACCTCATTCCATCAAGAAAGCAGTACCAGGAGCAGAAAGCGCCCTTTGGACCGGGGTCCCTGCGCCAAGAAGCTCCTAGTCTGGGGGAACAATGATGAGAAGGCTGACAGAGAGAGAAAGCCTTCCCCTGGAGCTGGCACCCTGAATTTGGACTTTTAGCCTACTTTACTGTAAGGAAATAAACTTCTCTTTGTTAAAACCATCCACTTGTGGTATTTCTGTTATAGCAGCACTAGATGACTAAGACAGTAACTAAGACAGGTACACTTACCAGACAGAGTTCAGGATTTAATGTGTTAGCTTAAATACGTAAGAGTGACTAATAGTTTGCTTGGTTGGTTAGCTGAAACTTGGACTAAACACTAGCCTATATTAAGTGACGTTAAGATCCTGTACTTCCTGGGTATAAGGTAGATGAAGGAACTCAAAGGTTTAAATATGTAGGAAATCTGGAGTAGATTTATCATGGGTGATCTTCTTATCCACTTTTTTTTACCATGGGGATTCAGAAGACAGTCCCTTCACCAAGGGTTTGTCAAATGCACTGCTGAGGGGAGCACCAGGTTTCCTGAAATGGCTATCCTACTGAGGATGATGGTGGGAGGTGCCACCATAGAAACACTCCCTTATTTTAATGGGGATGATGGTACTACAAAGTATCAGAGGTCAGTTGTGGCACTGCTTAATCCTCATGTACAAGATGAACATGATTACTGTTTAATAGGTAATAGGGCCAGAAATATAATCCAAATGTTTGACTTGCAGAAATCTTTGGTGATGGTTAATTGATCACAGTGATTCTAGAACTAAAATAGATAGGGCAGGCTATTAAAGTATTACTTGAGTTGTATTTAACAATAAATAAACAAAATCTTCTAGGTCTGGTGAACAGAGGCCTAATTTGAATGACAACATAGAGAATAAGTAATAGCCTCTTACTCAATCCCCAGACCTGAGCCAGCGTTCTTAGAATGATGGGAATGCCAGGTTGTCTTCAGGAAAAACCCTGTGACACTGCCACAGGTATGTAATCTTCTCCTGAGCCTTTCCCAAAGAGATGTGTGGCCATTTATCAAGGTGACTGGGCATCGGAGAATGGGAATTATATAGACATTTTGGGGATGAGTCCAGTGGTTCTGAGGCAACACTACCACCTTGTTACCCAAAATACCACTAAGGTTCACAATTCAGAGTGGGGGCTTATGGAATTCAGGTGATAAATAGAATTTAAACTCACAGTATGCTTAGACTATGTCTACAGTGATTGAATGGCCCAGCATATGTTTCACAGTGGGCCTAGTGGGTGTTTGTAAATCTCCCCTGTGGTTATTTCTGCAGTTCTTGAATGCACAGTCACAATAAACAATCTGTAATAGCAGATTCTCCACAGTGGCTACTGGACCCGAGGAATGAGAGTTATTAATGATAGAAAAGGTCAAGTGCTTGGAGGGCCTCTTCAGATTCTGGCATCAACATATCCCACATTTGCTCCTTTAATTTATTTATTGAATAACCTTCAAGGTAGCAAGTTTTTAGTGGTACCCAAAGCAAGATAAAGCTCTATAGCTGACCCAGGCCGCATCCAAGCTCCAAGATGCTCCAAGTTTCTGTGCTACGTGGAGCCTCTGGCAAGCTTTAGTAAAATAATTTAATCATAGGATTTGGAAGTGAAGCCATCACCTCTTTCCACAATAACTACTCACCCTTTGAGGAATGGTTCTTGCTTGTGACTGGGCCCTAGTGGAGACTGAATACTTGACCATGAAAAATCAAGTGATCAAATGACCTAAACTGCCCTTCCTGAAATTTGGTATATCACTCACCAATCCATTAAGTTGGGCATGTGCAATAGCACTCCATCCTCAAGTGCTTGTGCTATGTAAGGTAACTGAACTGAGCAGGTACTAAAGGTACAAAGTTGCATGAGGAGGTGGTACTTAGCTTCTACTGTATTACCACCTCTCTCAACCCAAACCTATGGCCTCACAAGTAGTGCCCTATTACAAGTGACTGAGAAAGAATATAGTCAGGCCTGATTTACATACGGTCCTGTACCATATGCTGCAACTACTTAATATAGCACTGCTGTAGCATTACAACCCCATTCAGGGGTAGTCTTTAAGTACAGTGGGGAAGGGAAATCTTTTCAGTGGGCAAAATTCATGTTCACTTTGCATAGAAGGAGAGACGGCCAGAGGTATGGGCCTATATTAACTCACAGAAAGTTTCCAATGGTTTGGCTATATAAGTAGGGATTTTGAAAGAATAAGATTGGGGGATTGGTGAAAAGTCTGAGAAAGGGGGCTAGACTGGAAATGCTATCCAATAGAATTTTCTACAATGATGGAAATGTTCTCTACTTGTACTTTCTAATATGGTGGCCACTAGCCATATGCATCTATTCAGCACTTGAAATATGGCTAATGTGACTGAAAAACTTAATTTTAAATTTTATTTAAAATTTAAATAGCCACATTGTGGCTAGTGGCCACATATTGGACAGTACAGGCCTAGAGTAAGGAAATAGGTGTTTCATGTGATTTGCTCACCCGAGGGCATCCACAGCAGAGGTGGCTCTCAATAATGAGATGGAAAAACATAGTACATTCTGTAGATGTTACTTAGCCTCTTTTTCTAGCAACAATTTGCTTGCTCAATGGGCTAATGTACAAAGAGCATGGTGGCAGCAATATATATTTTACAAGGAGTCACCAAGGCTAATTCACTCATCTTGCCAAAAGCAAAGATCAGTGCTAAGCAACTGATATGGCACCATCCTCTAGGGGGACCAGCCAGCCACCTGGTAGCAGGCTTATTATATTGGACCCTTTCTATCATGGAGAGAACAACAATTTGTCCTAGTGAAACAAATACTTATTTTAGATATAGATTTGCTTTCTCTGTCCAAAATGGTTTTGTAAGGATCAACATCTGCGAACTTACCAAATTCCTTATTTCCTCTCATGATAATTTTATAGAAAGAGAAATAAAACAATGGCTCATATACGTGAGGGTGATGGTTAAGGTTTTGTGACAACTTGGCTAGGCCATGATTCTTAGTGGTTTGGCAGATATTATGTAATCATCATTTTGTGATCTGATATGACTAGCCAATCAGTTGAAAGGGGAGTTTCCTCGGGGGTGTGGCCTGCATCCAATACATACGGATGTTCTGGCAAATCTTGCACTTTCGAGCCTACATTTGATCCTGCATTCACCTCATCTCCTCTGATCTCTGGATCTTGGGACGTGAGCCAGCAGCCTGCTGCCTGACCTGCAGATTTGGGGTTTGTCAGCCCTTTCTACCACATGAATCAGGAGAAGCCTCCAGTCTTCTGACCCATGGATTTGAGACTTGCCAGCCTCCACAACTGCGTGAGTCATTTCCTTGAAATACATATCTCTCTACACGTTTATAAGGAGCCCTGGTGGCATAGTGGTTAAGCACTCCGCTGCTAACCAAAATGTTAGCAGTTTGAACCCACTAGCCACTCCATGGGGAAGAGATGTGGCAGTCTGCTTCCATAAAGATTTATAGCCTTGGTGATATTTGACAAAGGCCCAAAGTCAGTTAATTGGGGAAAAGACAGTCTCTTTAACAAATGGTGCTGGCATAACTGGATATCCATCTGCAAAAAACTGAAACAAGACCCATACCTCACACCATGCACAAAAACTAACTCAAAATGGATCAAAGCTTTAAATATAAAATCAAAAACAATAAAGATCATGGAAGAAAGATGGAAACAACCTAGAGGCCCATCAACAGACAAATGGATAAACAAATTATGGTATATTCACACAATGGAATACTACGCAACAATAAAGAACAATGATAAATCCGTGAAATATAACATGGAGGAATCTGGAAGGCATTATGCTGGTGAATTTAGTCAGTCACAAAAGACAAATATTATATAAGACCACTATTATAAGAACTCAAGGAAAGGTTTAAACACAGAAGAAAACATTCTTTGATGGTTACGAGGGTGGGGAGGGAGGGAGAGGGGTATTCACTAACTAGAAAGTAGGTAAGAATTATCTTAGGTGAAGGGAAGGACAGCACACACTACAGGGGAAGTTAGCACTACTGGACTAAACCAAAGCTAAAAAGTTTCCTGAATACAAGCAAACACTTCGAGGGATATAGCAGCAGGGGCGGGGGTCTGGGGACCATGCTTTCAGGGGATATCTAGGTCAACTGGCATAACAAAGTCTTTTAAGAAAATGTTCTGCATCCCACTTTGGTGAATGGTGTCTGGGGTCTTAAAAGCTAGTGAGTGGCCATCTAAGATGCATCCATTGGTCCCAACCCACCTGGAGTAAAGGAGCATGAAGAACACCAAAGATACAAGGAAAATTTTAGCTCAAGAGAAAGAAGGGCCACAGAAACCAAAGACTCCATCAGCCTGAGACCAGAAGAACTAGATGGTGCCCAGCTACCACCAATGACCACCCTGACAGGGAACACAACAGAGAGTCCCTGAAGGAGCAGGAGAAAAGTCGGGTGCAGAACTCCAATTCTAGTAAAAAGACCAGACTTAATGGTCTGACTGAGACTGGAGGGACCCCGGAAGACATAGCCCCTGGACTCTCCGTTAGCCCAAAACTAAAACCATTCCCGAGGCCAACTCTTCAGACGAAGATTAGACTGGACTATGGGACATAAAATGATACTCATGAAGAGTGAGACTAAATGGGCAGCTCCTGTCTGGAAGGAGGTGATATGAGAAGGCAGAGAGGGTCAGGAGCTGGTTGAATGGACATGGGAAATCTGGAGTGGAAAGGAGGAGTATGCTGTCACAGTATAGGGGGAGCAACTAGGGTCACATAACACAATGTGTGTATAAATTTTTGTATGGGTAACTTGAATTGTAAACTCTCACTTAAAGCACAATAAAAAAATTTATAGCCTTGGAAACCCTATGGGGCAATCCTACTCTGTCCTACAGGGTTGCTATGAGTCAGAATCCACTCGATGGCAACAGGTTTGTTTGGTTTTGGTGTATATATTTATATATACACTTCACTGGTTTTGCTCCTCTAGAGAATCCAGCCTAAGACAATGAGACTCATATACATCTCATCATCCAGAAAACCTAACCCGATAAAGCAGTGGAATGACCTATTGAAGACTCAGTTATAATGCTAACTAGGTGACAATACCTTAGAGGGCTGAGGTGCCATCCTAGAAGATGATGTATAAGCTTTAACCAATGATTAGTATATGATGTTATTTCTGTCATAGCCAGAATACATGAAAAGGAACTAAAAGGTAGAAGTGGGAGTGATTTCTCACACCAATACCCAGTTGGCAAAATGTGTGTTATTGTATTATTAGTGGTGAACTTTATAATTAAGTTTTTAAGTTCCAGTATATCTATGTAGATTGAGACTAAAGTAGTAGGAATTAACATCACTCCAAAATGATCACAGATACTGATGGAACTTTGAATGTTCCCTTTCAAGGGAGAGGTTAATTGTATCTTCATTTATATGAGTCATATAAAAAACAAAAAAAAATAACCCAAAAATAAACCCATTGCTGTGGAGTTGATTCTGACTTATAGTGACCTTATAGGACAGAGTAGAACTGCCCCACAGAGTTTCCAAGGAGCAGCTGGTGGATTCAAACTGCCAACCTTTTCGTGAGCAGCCGAATGCTTAACCACTGTACCACCAGGGCTCCAAAAACCAAACACATTGCCATCGCATCAATTCCAACTCATAGTGACTCTAAAGGGTTTCCAAGGAGCAGCTGGTGGATTACAACTGTCAAGCTTTTGGTTAGCAGCCGAACACTTAATTACCGTGCCACCAGGGCTCCAAAAATCAAACCCGTTGCCATCAAGTTGATTCCAACTCATAGTGACCCTACAGAACAGAGTAAAACTGCCTCATAGGGTTTCCAAGGAGCAGCTGGTGGATTCAAACTGCTGACCTTTTGGTTAGCAGCCAAGCTCTCAGTGGATCATATTATATGGAAGCATAATACTCTTCATGTTGTTTAATAAGGTTAAATATGGGTAAAATGGTTTGGATGGGTGCTGAGTATTCAAAGCAGATTGTTCTGGCACTCAATAGGATCCTCACTTTTTTAAGCTCTCCCCTGTGCTGTAAGATTGGCAGTCTGAACAACAAATTTCGCAGACTCCCTTGCCAGCAGGGAGCAGGGTTCCAGTTTAGTTTCTGACAATGAAAGACACTTGTACATTATTTGGAAAGCATAGCAGTAGCATTCAAGTTGCTGTCGAGTCAATTCTGACTTGTGGCGATTCCATGTGTGTCACAGTAGAACTGTGCTCCATAGAGTTTTCAATGGCTGATTTTTTGGAAATAGATCACCAGGCCTTTCCTTTGAGGCACCTCTGGGTGGACTCAAACTGCCAACCTTTCAGATAGCAGACGAGCACATTAGCCGTTTGCACTCCCTAGGGCCTCCAGTAGTAGTACCCCCCAAAACAAAAAACAAACAAACCCATTGCCGTCCAGTCAATTCTGACTCCTAGTGACCTACAGGACAGAGTAAAACTACCCTATAGGGTTTCCAAGGAGCGGCTGGTGGATTAGAACTGCTGATCTTTTGGTTAGCAGACAAGCTCTTAAACACTGCACCACCAAGGCTCCAGGAGTAGCATAGGAGAAAGAAAAACATTGTTCTATTCTAGCACTAATGGGTAGATAAATGGATAGACAGCAGAAGAAACATTCGTAGGAGCTTCAGAGGGAGTTCAAATCTCACTTCGGCTACAGGAGGTTGTTTCCCTATAACTTCTGAATTTATTAAAATCCAGCAGCAGTTCCTTCTGACTTTCTACTCACTCCCAGTCCTCCCTCCTAACAGTTTTGTAAGTATCTTAAAACAAACAAACAAAAAAAACCCAAAACCCAAACCCACTGCTGTTGAATTGATTCTGACTCATAGTAACCCTATAGGACAGAGTAGAACTGCCCCATAGAGTTTCCAAGGAGCTCCTGGTGGATTCCAACTGCTGATCTTTTGATCAGCAGCCATAGCTCTTAATCACTACGCCACCAGGGTTTCCTGTAAGTGTCTTATTCCCTGTTAAATTTCTTACTGCTTGAAATACCTAATGTAGATTTCATTTTCCTGACTAAACCTTGAAATTAATGGGTAAAGTGCTAGGCATTTAATAATAATTGCCATTATTCAGGCCTATGGGAATAGGAAAACTGAGAAGCATATCTACTTTCTTACCTCATCAGATTTTCTTTTTTCATTTTCCAGTTGTTTAAGTAGGGTCTCTTGTTGTTGAATTCTGAATTGTTGCTGAGAACTGGTCACTTCCAGTCGATTCTCTTTGTCCTGTAAAATTCTCACTTGCCTTTGCAGCTCATTTATGTTCTGATCTAGGAGTTTCCTGAGGGCAATTAATGTACATTAAATCACAAGGCAAATTGCAAAGTTTTACAAATGAAAGCCTTAGACCTAAAATTTTTTACTATCACAGGGAATTTTTGTTATTGTTGTTCAGTTAGGGGGAATGTGTCCATAAGGTAAAGAGACCAACACAGTGAACCTCCTCGGAGACAGAAGCTTTTCTTTGTTCTCTCTCTTATTCCTCAAAACAACCCTATAGGGAAGAAATAATTTTCGTTATTTCACAGATGGGGAAGCTGTGGCACAGAGAGGTTTAATTAATTTGTTTAAGGTCGCACAGTTAGGACCCAAATCCCAAATTTCATATTTTTTCTACTCTTCCTCACTGTCTTACAAGTTGAGTCCTTTGATCAGGACTCAGTAGAGAGTTGTTAGTTATAAAACACTGTTGATACTAATGTACATACGCACTGCTGTAGCTGAATCTAAACGAGCCCATGTTTGATGAGGAAATGTGTCCTTCCCAAAAGGGCCATGAACACTTTGCTCCCTCGAAGGAATGTCATCAGACTACAGTTTGTGGAAGGAGTTTCTGAAGATTTCAGAATAATCAGCTGGAAGACAATTCATTCAGAAGAAGATGAAGATGATGATAAAATAGCACTTGTGGGCAAAATTCTCACCTAAATGCTAAGGCGTTGTTGTTGTTGTTAGGTGCTGTCGAGTTGATTCCAATTCATAGCGACCCTATGTACAATAGAATGAAACACTGCCCGGTCCTGTGCCATCCTCACAATCATTGTTATGCTTGAGCCCATTGTTGCAGCCACTGTGTTAATCCATCTCGTTGAGGGTCTTCCTCTTTTTTGCTGACCCTCTACTTTACCAAGCATGATGTCCTTCTCCAGGGACTGGTCCCTCCTGATAACATGTCCAAAGTACGTGAGATGAATTCTTGCCATCATTGCTTCCAAAGGAGCATTCCAGCTATACTTCTTCCAAGGCAGATTTGTTCATTCTTCTGGCAGTCCACGATATATTCAATATTCTTCAACAATACCATAATTCAAAGGTGTCAATTCTTCTTTGGCCTTCCTTATTCACTGTCCAGCTTTCACACACATATGAGGTGATTAAAAATACCATGGCTTGGGTCAGGCACACCTTAATCCTCAAAGTGACATTTCTCCTTTTTAACACTTTAAAGAGGTCTTTTGCAGCAGATTTGTCCAATGCAATACGTCATTTGATTTCTTGACTGCTGCTTCCATGGGTGTCGATTGTGGATCCAAGTAAAATGCAATCCTTGACAACTTCAATATTTTCTCCGATTATCATGATGCTGCTTATTGGTCCAGTTGTGAGGATTTTCGTTTTCTTTATGTTGAGGTGCAATCCACACTGAAGGCTGTAGTCTTTGATCTTCATCAGTAAGTGCTTCAAATCCTCTTTGCAATGTTGTGTTAGCAGGCATGAAAACAACATTAATCTCCTTGTACATCTCCATCAGAGCTCTTGGGTGACCAGGTGCATTGTCAATGAGCAGTGATATTTTGAAAGGAATCTTTTTTTCTGAGCAGTTAAGTCTCAACAGTGGGCTTAAAATATTCAGCAAATCATGTTATAAACAGATGTACCATCATTCAGGCTTTGTTGTTCCATTTGTAGAGCACAGGCAGGGTAGATTTAGCGTAATTCTTAAGGGCCCTAGGATTTTCAGAATGGTAAATGAGCACTGACTTCAACTTAAAGTCACAAGCTGCATTAGCCCCTAACAAGAGAGCCAGTCTATCCTTTGAAGCTTTGAAACTAAGCACTGACTTCTCCTCTCTAGCTATGAAAATTCTAGATGGCATCTTCTTCCAATATAAGACTGTTTCGTCTACATTGAAAATCTGTTGTTTAGTGTAGCTATCTTCATCAATTATGTTAGCTAGATCTTCTGGATAACCTGCTGCCACTTCTGCATCAGCACTTGCTGTGTCACCTTGTACTTTTATATTATGGAGACAGCTTCTTTCCTTAAACCTCAGGAACCAACTTCTGCTAGCTTCAAACTTTTCTTCTACAGCTTCCTCACCTCTCTCAGCCTTCATAGAATTGAAGAGAGTTAGGGCCTTGCTCTGGATTAGGCTTTGACTTAAGGGAACATCGTGGCTGGTTTGATCTTCTATCCAGACCACTAAAACTTTCTCCATATCAGCAATAAGGCTGGTTCACTTTCTTATCATTTGTAGGTTCACTGGAGTAGCACTTTTAACTTCCTTCAAGAACTTTTCCTTTGCATTCACAACTTGGTTAGCTGTTTGGCACAAGAGGCCTAGCTTTTAGCTTATCTCGGCTTTCAACATGCCTTCATCACTAAGCCTAATCATTTCTAGCTTCTGATTTAAAGTGAGAGATGTGCGACTCTTCCTTTCACTTGAACACTTGGAGGCCATTGTAGGGCTATTAGCTGGCCTAATCTCAATATTGTCGAATCTCAGGGAATACGAAGGCCCAAGGAGAGGGAGAGAAATGGGGAACAGCCAGTCAGTGAAGCAGTCAGAACACACACAACATTTATCAATTAAGTTTGCTGCCTTATATGGGAGCAGTTCGTGGCGCCCCAAAACAATTACAAGAGTAACATCAGATATCACTAATTACAGATCACCATAACAGATATAATAATAATAATGAAAAAGTTTGAAATACTGCAAGAATTAGCAAAATATGACACAGAGACATGAAGTGAGCACCTGCTGTTGAAAAATGGTGCCAACAGACTTGCTCAATCCAGGGTTGTCACAAACCTTCAACTTGTAAAAAATGCAGTATCTGTGAAGCGCAGTAAAGCAGCACACAATAAAACGAGATGAGTCTGTATACAGTTTGAATGACAAAGACTAACAAATTAATCAGTATAATCAGTGAATAAAGTTAAGAAATCAGTAGACTGATAAGACTCCCTGTCTATGCTATTGCCTTATCCTCTCTTCCAATACATCTTTTACATAGCAGCCAGGGTGCTCTTCCTAAGAAATAATCTAATCATATCACCCTCTCTGCTTAAAATTCCTTACTCTTAAGGTATAGTCCAAATTCCTTAATGTGGCTTGCAGGGCTCTGCATGACCTAGCCCTAGCTTACCTTTCTAGCCTCTTTCCACTTCCTCTACCCACAAACACTTTGTTTCATCCAAAAGAACTCTTTTCTTGTCCTCAAACAAGTAATCCTCCATACTTATTCCTTCCTCATTCCCCAACTACAACCTTTTCCCTATCTTCTTCCAGGCTTTCCTTTGCTTAATATGCTCTATTTGACTCCCACATACCAACTACTTCACTCTCAGTTTAAATATCTTTCTTCGATAAGGCTTTCTTGATGTCCCTAGACCAGCTCAGGTGTCCCTGCTATGTGCTATCACAGCATTCTAAACCTCTCTTAGTATAACATTTATCATACTTCATTGCAGTTGCAAAATCTTATTCAAAAGGATATTCATTATAGCATTATTTAAACAGCAAAAAAGTCTAAAAAATGTATTCCATAAATTATGATATATCTATGCAACAGAACACTATACAACTGTTAAAAATGATATTATGAAGCTAGAAATTAATAAAAGAAAGATAGATGGAAAATCCTAAAATATTTGGAGATGTAAACAACACACTTCTAAAAAACATATGGGTCAAAGAAGAATTCTCAAAAGAAATTAAAAATATTTTGAACTAATTGGATATAAAATAAAACAAAACCTATCAAAATTTGTGGGATGCAGTGAAAGCAGTGCTCACTGGGAAATTTATAGCATTGAATACATGTATTAGAAAAGAAGAAAGATCCAAAATCAATAATTTAATCTCCCACTTTAGGAAACTAGAGAAAGAGCAAATTAAAGCAAAAGTAAGAGCAGAAATAAGTGAAATTGAAAACAGGAAATCAGTACAGAAAATCAGTGAAATAAAAATCTGGTTCTTTGAAAAGATTAATAAATAAAATTGATAAACCTCTAGCCAGACTAACCAAGAAAAAAAAAGAGAGAAGACATGAATTACTAATATCAGAAATGAAAGACAGACCATCACTACTGATCCCATGGACATTAAAAGGATAATAAAGGAATATTATGAACAACTCTATCTCCACAAATTTGATAAATGACATGGAACAATTCCTTGAAAGACACAATTTACCAAAACTCACACAAGGAGAAACAGATAATTTGAAAGAGCCTATATTTAATAAAGAAGTTGAATCAATAATTAATAACCTTTTAAACCAGAAAGCACCAGGCCTAGGCGCTTTCATTGGTAAAGTTTATCAAATACTTAAGAAATGATCCTAATCCTGTACAATCTCTTCTAGAAAATAAAAGCAGAGGGAACACTTCCTAACTCATTCTATGAGGCCAGCATCACCCTAATACCAAAACCAGATAAAGACATTACAAGAAAGGAAAATTACAGAACAATTATCTTTCATGAAGACAGATGCAAAAATCCTCAACAAAACATTAGCAAATCAAATGCAATAATGTATAAAAAGAATTGTTCATCATGATCATGGGATTTATTCTAGGTATGCAAGGCTGGTTTAATATTTGAAAATGAATTAATGTAATCCACGACATCAACAGGATAAAGAAGAAAAACCACATGATTATATCAACAGATAAGAAAAAGTATTTGACAAAGTCCAACATCCATTCATGATAAAAACTCTTAGCAAACTAGGAATAGAGGGGAACTTCCTCAGCTTGATAAAGAACATCTACAAAAAACCTACAGATAACATACTTCATGGTGACCCCGTGTGTGCAGAATAGAATTGCTCTTTAGGGTTTTCATCAACTTGACAGCAACTAACAACAGCAAAAAAATCATACTTAATGATGAGACTACTGTATTTTTTTGCAAATAGCATGCCCGCATAAATAACGTGCACCTACATATAATGCACGAACATGATGAACTTATGTAAAAAAGTTCTGGCATAGCGTGCCCATGCATATACCACGCACATCTTGTGACATTTCCAGAAATGAATTTCAGC